TCCTTATGTGGGATTTTTTAAATAATCATAATACTGAGCTAAAGGTATGTCTATAAAAACTAAATTCGAGCAGCATATCAAACAAGTGCTTTTTTTGTAGGGAAAAATGCTGAGTGCTGAATGGGAACCTAGAGAAGATAAAAGACAGATAGCTTGAAAAAAGCGAGTTTTTTAAAGAGGCAAACTCTGTTTTTCCTTTTCTCCAATTTTCAAAACATTTCTGGAAAATTTGCACTTCAGCGGAGCAAATACGGAACCTATTTACATCCCATCAAAGAAGCGATCGAAGTTCAACCTGCTGTTTTTGTTGCTGTTGCTGTTATTGGGGGACATTGGACTGTCCTAGATGTTGAGAAAGTCACAGTAGATACCATTCAAATGAGATATTATGTTGAGCTGTCGGTGGAGGAGAATGGGGTTCCCATGATTTTCATGATGCCCAAATTTGAGTAGCTTGGAAATCCCGAAAGCTTGTAACTGATGGCTACCTAGATAAAGCCCTTTTGGGTTTTTCCTTCAAGATTTTTTTTCAATTACCCTAAAAAAGTACATGTTTCACAGGACGAATTGTGATTGATTCATAATCTTTATCAATTCTAATGAACAAAGAAAAACGACTGAGCAATATGATGAATGACGACAAACCAAATAACTGAATAATGTGGACTAGGGAGCAAGACACGAGAGAGATTGCAAGGAGAACATTGACCATACAAGAAAAAAAGCGCGGGAGCAAAAATTTACGGAAAAGAAAACAACTGTACGAGTACAAATCGAAAGCAATGTGACCGTAGTGGCTTGGCACGATTTAGACGAGGCATGTGGAGTGCGTTTTACACTTACACACAATGTTGCTCTTTTTCTTTACAAGAGCACAGCAAGCGCATTAATGACCGAAATAGCACTTCAAAGTGTTTCGAAGAAAACATTACAAGGCAATAAAGGCTGATCGGAAATTCGATCACAGCATAAGTGACAATGCGGATGTGCGGTCGAATCCAGGACTAGTAAAAAGACTACAACGCAAAAGATTATTAGCAATATTTGAGCGGGAAGCGAAAAGTATGAAGATGTGAAAATACAAACAAAGAGAAAATCAAACTTATCTCAAAAATCGCACCTTAACAAAAATTCGTCGAAATTACAAAAAAGTTATATAAAATGGGCACAGCTAAGTGATTTCAAGTTTTAGGGAAAGGATCCTTAAAGACGACGAGTTAAGAAATATGTATGCTGTTGCTGGTCCAAATCTCCAAATTCTAACTTCGAAATCAATTTTCAAAAAGAAAAATCTTAAACCCAAAATGGTTATCTGCAGTTCACTAAACCGGAATGAAAGTGGAGTGCGCGTCCCTCAGTCGTTATACGGTATGATCGTCCGTTTCCTGTTTTAGGTCAAAGTTGAATCCTATCTAAGCTAAATATCACCCTAACGCAAAAAAATGGCAGCAAGCGGGATCTCATTCTGGGACAAATGGTAAACGAAAGCAACCGCTAGGCCAGCAACAAACCAAACAAACAGTTTCCTAAGCGCAACAGATACTTCGTAGAGAAAACACTCATAACATTTTTATACCAGAAGTTTAGATATGTGGAAAGGAGAATTGAATCGAAACTTCAAAAACACATCATGAACATAGACTTTATCTTAAAATGTCGACTTCCCCTTCATACTTATTGGCAACATTATTTAACCTTTAAAATAAGCAATTTAATCTACTTATACTAGTCCGTTTCTGAGTTCTGTTAGCTATTATATGGAATATAAAGGAGTGTTACGATAAAATGAACCTTTTAGGAAATTTGAGAAAGAAAGTCAAGGTTTCTAGTTTAATTTACAAGGTAATTTTGGCCAAGACACACCTGTCCCTCAAACTTAAATCACTATAGCTGCAGCCCACGTGCTAAAAAAAATTGCGAAATTTGAATTAGACAACACATCCGTCTAATCTCAACAAGTTTACATCTAATGTCAATAATTGACTAATGAGCAGTTCGCTAGATTG